CGAAATGAATTACTCCTTTGATGTCCCACCAAATGCAAAGCCTCAATTTCTGTTGATAGAGTCCAGGTTTTTGTGTAGGACTGAGCCATTGTTTTTGACGTTTAATATTCGCATAGAGAATCTATTTTCACCACCGGTGACAGTTATGTCCAAAAATGATTCACGCGCATTATTCTTCCATCATATTTATCATATGAAATTCCAATGTTACATTTTTCGTACTTTTCCTTTTTCCTTTTGCTCTGTTCCTAAAACTCTAGAATCCTTTTTTCGATACCCGTGGTAGTCAGAGCACACATAGCCCATTGTGTGGCTTTGTGCTTAATTTCAAACAAACCAAACCAAGTAAACGTACGAAAAATGTAACACTGGGATTTCATGTAATAAATATGATGGAAGGAATGACATTCACTGTCCAGAGAAAAACTATTGTCTTAGATTTCGTATAAGGCAGAAGAGGGAGAAAAATTTCATCAATGATATTCGTTAACCGTATAGGATGGATTATTTGGCTAAATTCAATTTCAGTGGTTTTTTATAGAATTAGTTACAGTTAAGGGTTTCTCATCTGGCTGAGTAATCCACGAGTTGTTCACGTTGAAGATATAACATCATATAAAAAAATTGGTATAGAACTGTAAGAAAACAAGAAATATTCTAGAGTTGTAAACAGTAACAGCAACCTAGAGTGAAAGTATATGTTACAAAAGTTGTAAACTTTAAAGTTCTACAGAATAAACGCAGCATTACTTTTTCAGCAGTATATATCTTTATTATTGTTGGAAAAAGACCAGAATGTAAGTATTGTAGGAGTTATTTTTAACTTTAAACAGTGCAACAGACTTACTGCATGTTTATTTGTATCTAAACAAACGTCATGATAAATGGCTTTTTGAAACATAAATATTCTTAAGTGGCTAAAGGAAATTAAGTTACAAACTTATCTTCTATGAGTTTACCTATAAACTTTTTTCTTTACAATACCGATTTTTAATTTATATTATTAACTCTATAAACATTGCTTTAAGTTTAAGGAAACAATGGTTTATTTTCCATTTCAACTTATTTTACACTATTCAAGTTTAAACCTTTCTTCGACTTCTACATACAATACTTAGATTTTTCAAACGAACGTTTATCACTAACCTCTTAATTTTGAGATATATCATAGTATAGTGACATATCACAAGTTTTATCTTTTATGTGAATATTGCATATGAACACACAGCTAGGACAGAGAAAGAATCAATGGTTGTTTTTAGCTAATTTACTGTCAAAGTTCGAAAATATTTGTTTCCAGTTATTTATTAATTTTATAACATACACTTGACGCTAAAATGTATCGATTTTTAATTTTAAGGTAGACACTATCAAATAATTTTCGGAAACTTTTGTGAATTATCAAAATGGGGAGTAAATTCTTTAACTGAAGTGCGTAAGTTATTAACATATGTTAATTTTTACATGTTCTAAAGTAATATCGAAGTATCATGTATATTATGATCATTCTATATTTAAGTATAAGTAAAGATATACTGATATACAAATATACAGTTATGTATTTATTTTTATTATTTTGCAGTTACTTGTTTTATTATATTGTAGATGACTAAATCATCTTGCTGGGTATAACTGATTATGTAAGTACTTTATATACATACAGGATGTATATGTATGTATAGCTTATTTCCTCTTTGAGGTTCAAAATTTGACATCTCCTTGAAAATATGAAGATTAGTGGCATTAGATTGTGTTTAAATGATGTTACTCAGTTATCATTACTGAGCTTATATGTATTTTATCATACTTTTTTTTTATATGCAACATAACTGGAATCTTTGTCCAACAAGTAATAAAGCATTTCTTCTGGATTCACAAGTGTATAAAATATCATATTACATATTATTCTCAAAACGCATAAAACAATTGTATTCCTCCTTTTGTTCTGTTCCTAAGTGTAACAATATTTGTAGATTATTTTATAAACATGTGTTTTTGATGCAATATATTATCCTATATTTTTTTAGTACATTTATAGTTTATAATAAAAACAAACAACGGTGTTAGTTTCAGCTTGTAGCGAAAACTCTGACATGAAACGTCGCTTTGTTATTTTGAGAGTAAGTATGAAAGCAGTTAAAGAAGATTTGACAGAGTGAAAATGACTTAGTGCATGTTTTTTTGTACTTAAATGAAGGTCATTGTAAATAGATTTTTAATATCACTTTATTATCGTTACCATCATCTAAGTTGCTAAGGGGAAATGAAAACAAATAAATTTACCAGCTTCTGATTTTTGTTGTTAAGTACAACGTTACACGAGGGACTATCTGAACTGTGCTCACCGCTGGTATCGAAACCCGAATTGTAGTGTATAAGAAGTTAGACTTACTGTTGAGCCATCAGGGGGTGATAAGCTTCTCTTCTATGTTCTTACTTATGAACTTTATCTTTTTAACTTTACCAATTTCTTATTTATGTTATCAAATCTGTGAACGTCCCTTTAATTATGGACACAGAAGGTTACTTTGCACGTCAATCTAGTTTACATTATTTCAGCTTCAAACTTTTTTCACCTTCTAAGTACATACTATACATGAAGTTTTCATATAAACTTTATCGATAAGTATTGGGGCACAACTTTGTACAGCAAGTTTTATCTCGAAACAGCTTGGTCTTTGTAAGTATGTCGTGTGTTTAAAGTTAATACATGATGATGTTAGAGGGAGATTCGAGGTCTCTAAAGCATATAATACGGTCTTCTTTATTCTAGTAAACGTCGCACATGAACATAAGAAACAAACACAAACTCTGTGGATGTGCGGCTTAGTTCAAATATATTTTTATATATTTTAGATAACTTGTTTGTTAAAATCATAAATACTATTCAACGTTAAACTGGTACACAATTAAAAACATTTTATTTAGGCCTATCCAAGGCCTTCAAAAAGTTGACGACTCTACATGTTTCGACGTTACAACGTCATCCTCCTGATCATTTACATTATTATTTCTATATGTATCAGAAAATATGAAGCTAGAGTTATACTTGCTATATTTAATAGGAAAGTTAAGTAAACATACAAAAAATATCGTAATATTGTAATTTGGGATGGAAGGAATGACAGTTTTCGTACAAGATAGGGGAGGGAGGAAAACGTTCACCAATGATATTCGAATTTACAACGCCCCTTATCTAGACGTTGATCGTATATGTCTACAGGATGACTAATTCGGTTAAAGTTTAGTTCAGTAGTTTTCCTAGGATTAGTTATAGCGATATCTGTACTTTATTGGTTTCTGACCTGGTTGTTTAATTCACGTGCTGCAAAAGTTGTTCTTTACGTTGAAGATATATTATATCATATAAAGTTATATCATATAAATTATAATATTATATAATATTATTATATTATTATATAAGTTATATCATTATAAATATCATATAATATCATAAAGTTATTTTTAACTTTAAACAGTGCAACAGACGTACTGCATGTTTATTTGTATCTAAACAAACGTCATGATAAATGGCTTTTTGAAACATAAATATTCTTAAGTGGCTAAAGGAAATTAAGTTACAAACTAAGTGACCAACTCATCTTCTATGAGTTTACCTATAAACTTTCTTTTTACAGCACACTGTTCTGAAACATTTATGCATCCCTCAATAGCTAAGATAATGTGACTTTTATTTATCGAAATTCCAGAAGAATGGCCCAAAATGTGAATGTAAGGCCAGCTTACCAGGAAATAGATGGTTTTATATTACCAAGGTCTTTTTCTTCCAACTGCTTTCGGGGAACCCTCACGTATAAAGCAAGGGATGACGACATATTTATCGTCACATTTCCAAAATGTGGAACTACATGGGTCCAGCATATTGTTCATAATATTTTACATAAAGGGAAATCATTCGAAAGTTTCCAAGATTTTCAGAGATATTCTCCTTTTATGGAAATGACTGGCCCGGAAGCAGCGGTTCGAATGCCTCGTCCTGGAGCAATCAAAACTCATTTGCCCTTTCATTTAAACCCATATTCCCCTAAAGCAAAGTACATATATGTAGCTAGGAACCCGAAAGACACTTGTGTGTCATTTTATTACCACACGAAGATGATCCCGCCATACGAATTCGCAAATGGCACGTTTGACGAATACTTCAATATTTTCATCAACGGTGAAAACTATTTTGGAGATTATTTTGATCATCTGTTGTCATGGTATGAACACCGAAACGACTCTAACGTCTTGTTCATCACATACGAAGACATGAAGATCGACAAGCGAGGTGCAATCTTAAAGATCGCCAGTTTTCTTGGTAAGGAGTATGAAGACATGTTGCTAACAGATGAGAAGCTGATGGAGAAAATACTTTTTCAAACAAGTGTCGAATATATGAAAAAATATGCAAATGATCATATGCATAGCTTTTTAAGTGGGAAAAGTGAAGATGTAGAGAAAAATCCATACATTCCCGAAGGAATCCAGCATATCAATCAATATATGAAAAACAATAATATTAAACCTCCTGAAGAGGTCAACTTTGTTCGAAAAGCAGTAGTGGGAGATTGGAAAAACCATTTTACTCCTGAACAGTCTAGGATATTAAAAGAAAAATTCCAAGAGAAAACTAAGGGAACAGATATCTCTAATCTGTGGCCTAACTTACATGAAGATGTGAAAGATGACACAATTATATGAAAGATGTTTGGAAGAAACTTCGCTTTACAAAACAAAATATTTTTTCATGGTGTTGTAGAGAGAGCCTTACTTTCGGAAATGGAATATTTTAATTATCGTTTTAAGAAATCTTTCATTAACAGAACATATTTGATCACTTTACTTTTTAATCTGTTGTCTTTTGAATTATCATCTTCCAAGGAGTTTAAGAGGAACTCGTGATTCTTAAAAAAATGGTATTTGACTTAACATTCTATGCCTTTTTTGTATCAACATAACAATTTTCTGAACTTTCTTGACGAATATGGTTTTCATCTTCTCAAAATTTCAACACATTACAAAAAATGAAATAAAACTTATCACTTTTTCTAGGGTTATGGTTGTAACCTTATATTGAATAAATTCATGTAATTAGAAACCGACAATGTTGCGTTTGTTTCTTCGTTTTCACGGATTCAGAAGTTTATCTAGAACTTAAATGTTGCATTTCTTTTCATTGAATTTTACAGCATAACAAAGGATCGAACATGATCAGAAGAAGAGCGTTCCAGACTGTGACTCCAGCTTTTCCTTCTCTTTACAGGAAAATAAAATAATAATATTAAAAAACTAAAAATATATTGAATATGCAATTTGGGACGTGTATGTATATAGGGGTGATGGTTAAGTTTCAATATTCGGACGATAAGAAGTGGCAGTGGATGTTGTTGACGTTGTAATTTTTTAAAGACGTTCCTGGCTTTTATCACAATTCAGTGCTAAGGTGAATTTTCTTAGTTTTTTGCAAGAAAGAATTTCGTCATTGAAATAATATTTTTGTTAATTCGACATTACTTGTACAACACATTTTAATACTAGATGAAAGATATGTCCAAAACAATAACTAATGTTTTCATTTTTTGTTTTCGTTTTATAATTGTAACCAAACTGAGTGTTTACAAATAAAAGTTTTGAGACAGCTTGATTGGGTTATAAAAAAAACTTTATTATAAATGTACGACAAAATCCTGTCCAAATGTCATACATTTATAATAAAGTTTTTTCATTGCCCAATCAAGTCGTCTCAAAACTTTAATTTTCTTAAAAGTGGGTTCCTCGTTATCAAATGAGTGTCTACAATTTGAAATTAGCACGGACATTTTTAATATTTTAAACGATTCGTTTGGACAATGAGCACAATGGATATTTTATGGAATGAATTTGAAAGATGTCGTATAAAAATGTTAACACTATTATTTCTGTATTTATGGTGAAAATATGAAGTTAGAATTTTCCGTGCTATTCTAAATAAGAAAGATAAGTAAAAGTGCGAAAACAAAATGATATTGGATATTGACAGATAGTGTCTTACCTTTTGTATAAAATATTGGAGGGTGAGAAACGTTGACAAGTGGTATTTTAAATTACAACGCTCTTTGTTTAGCAGAAAGTAGGTCATGTAGGGTGACCTGACTTCTAAGGTCAGTAGTTTTGTTAGTACTAGTTTCAGCGAAACCTGAGCTCCAATGGATCTGACATGATTGTTTTGTCCACATATTGCAAAAGGTGCCGTTCATGTTTAAAATATGATAAATTCAAAAACTGTAAGAAAACAAGAATTATTTTAATAGCTCCTCAGCCAGAGGTCAAATTGGGGCCATTTGATACCAGTCAGGTGGGAAAATTCTCGTTACACTTCTTTTAAAGCACATAGTTTCTAGATTGAGAAAAAAATATGATAGACCACTAAATTTAGTAGCTTTCTATCAAAATGCCGATCAATTTGTACCCCACCCTGCAGGCCGCTGTTTGATATGTTAAATAATGAACAATGCTATATTATCTCATGCTTAAATTGTTTTAATCAATTAAAATATTGTTTCATTCAGTAATTAGGTGAAATTGTGCATAAAATTATGTACATTAGAAATGTTTTGGTTCGTAATGCTGCAATGATAAGCAGCAGTATTTTGAATTGCTGCTGTTTATTACTTTATATACACGGTAAACATGGTAAAGCACAATAATGATATGATATTGAATCTACAAATGATCGATTGTTATGTCAGGATTTTGATGATATTGTACTTTTACCCTGTGTGGGCCCGAGGTGGAATAGATTCACTCCCTTTCTGAAGCTTTCGGTGAAAGTCTTGCTCTCGGGTTCTGTAGACCATTCCCATACTGTTGCCATCACCTTATAGTCGTACTGATATTTCGTGCTGATATTGATGTGAAACAACCTTTTTAAATAACTAACTAATTGATAAAATAAGATTCATTATTATAGATTTTGAATATAATACTAGGTGTTACCACAAGATGGTTTGTTGAACTCCTTCACCCAGGGCTTTAGGGTAACATTCTAACAGGAGCATATCGCCCCCGTGTGCTAGTACCTGTTCATTGGGGGCTCCCTTCGCCGGGATCTGAGGCTATCGCAATCCATTCATTCGTCATCTCCGTCATGACGCAGTCGTATTCTGTGCTTAGAGTGACGTAAAACAACCTATATAAGTCACTAATACAAAGTTTTATTTTCCATACATAAAATTGTTCGATGATTTGGAAAAACAAGTTGCATTATATTGTTAAATTTTCATATATTAACAAGACATTAGCTTGAACTTGTAGAACTGTGGTAACAGAAGCATACATATTCCTGGTGGTGGTTGTAACGAATGTCCTGGACGCTCAATTAGGCTCAATGAAATTTTAAATGAATCATGCATTATATACTACCAAGGTGAAGAAGACGCCTCAACACTGGTATCATGAAAGGATAGCTCCTCGTAGGAGACGTTATTACAAACATCTCAAACCAGAGATCACCAAGGTTTATTGTCCATTGCAGAGACAACACCACAAGGGGGAAGTGCCAGAAATATTTTACCACTGACGATGGCGAAGAAGATTTATCATGAAAAGGGATCTGGATCTGATTCGAAATACTGAAAACAATTCAAATGTCGTGATCAGGGTGGGACTCCAACATCAAGAGTTTATGACAAACTCTGCATCTTTTGTGAAAAAACAAAGTACATAAAGAAACAGAGATCCAGAGAAACTTTCAGTCAATGTACTGATATACATTCAGATACAACACTACGTGAAATAGCAGGACTGCAAAGTGTTAGCCATTGTATCTCGTGACTGCTGAATCTCACTATCACAGAACCTGCTACAAAGAGTAAACACGTCCAACAAAACAGACGCCAAACGAAAAACAAGATGCAGAATACTATGCAGCAGAAAACAACATGTGTATACATCTGTTTGAGAACATAAGAACAGATTTGCTTAAAAACCTTAGAGTCATGAAAATCAGACGAAACAGACTCAAACACGGCAGATCACCAAGCAAGACTCATACACATCACCAGGAGATCCGCAGTCACTTAACCAAGAAACCCAGACACCATAATCGCAAAAAACAACAACCACAAGATAATCCAGGCCGAAAAAGACCTGGATAGAAGAGTAACCGTTCGACGAACCACCCCCAGTCGCCCCTCCGCCTACCGACCCGGGACTAAGTTCAATCTTAAAGGATTTTTCTCACGACAACCATCCTAATTTTTCCTACGCCCCCCCCCCAAGAAACGACGACGATTCAGACACCGAATACGACCAAACTTTCCCCCTCAGCCTAACTTCGACATTTCATCTCTCAAATCTATTCTCAAATTCTTAGGGTAACTGTTGCCGCTTTTATCCACTTACACTCACGAATCCCCGTTTTTTTTTCATCTTTTCTTCGGGTAAGGTCTTGTTCAGCGCCCTGGCCGTGAAGATGGGTTTTCTCTGGGTATTTCCGTTCCCCCCCCACAGAATTTTTTTTTCCTATGCATAAGATTTACAGATCCCCGCCCTGAAAACGGTCGTTTTTCTTCTAGTTAGCCAATCAGTTTAATTTCATCCAATTTAATTCAAGCTAAATCAGTTACCTTAAAATGATCATTTACACCTTTACCAGGCTACGGTCGGCCCTTTTTGAAATTGTGATTAAAAAAAATTTTGCCTCTATATTTTAATTTCACTTTTATCCAAGTAAATGTACCAAGCTCTTAGAACTACTTGGAACTGGTTTCTTTCGTTGCAGTCTTGGGCATCTTTAGAACTACTTAGAACTGGTTTCTTTCGTCGCAGTCTTGGGCATCTTTAGAACTACTTAGAACTAGTTTCTTTCGTCGCAGTCTTGGGCACCTTTCAACACCTGACAGCAACATCCTGATAAAAAAAAAACAACAACTAAAACTCCGCGTGTAACTAACATCCTCTCCAAAATCTTGCCAAAGCCCATAATTTTATTTTTAGCCATTCCCTTTATATATATATATATATTCGTACCATTCATAGATACAGTTAATACAGTTACATAGATCAGTAGTTATACAGATAATTAATATGAACACAGGTGAGAAATAATAATAATATCGTCACCTCCTGATGTCTCCCTGAGCGGATAAAGTCTCTAATAGCACTGGCTCTTGGGTCAGTCTAAGGCTTTTTACATCGAAGAAATCTCGGTAAAGATTCCCGGTGAAGATTGTATTTACAACAAATTTGACTGATGGAATTCCCAGCAGAAGATCCACTGTCATTTATAGCCATTCTATAGCATAATCTGACTAGCTCGTTTTCAGACGAACGGCAGGAGTTCTTAAAGTTCA